GCAATTGAAATGCTAAGGCCTCTTTGTCTTCTTCCAAATCCTATACTCTGCCACTTAAATGGCAGATGTCTTCACTGAGTGTAAGAAGGGTGTCTCTAAAATTGGCTTATTTCTCTGAGAAGGGTCTCCAAAATCTAGGAGCTCAGCTGGGATCTATCCATGACAGGTATAGTGGTGCCATCTTGGAAGACTTCTGGGAACACACATTTTCCTGAAAGAAGAGCTTCAAAAAAATTTTTTAACACAGCGAAGGTAAATATTTGTTGCTCGACATTGATCAATAAGTTCAGAGGCAAAGATGAGAATTAGGCTCATAACTCCATGCCCTAGCACTGCCAAGCCATGCCCATCATTTATTTTCTTTACATTTCAAGTTGTGCACAAATATCACACACATTAAATGTGTTAGAAGGTTGTAAGTACTATAATCATTATTTGATGTGGGTTTTTTTTGTACGTGACCCTCCACTCCCACTCTGATTACCATATCAGATATTTGTAATCGTACACCACAGCAGCAAATGTATATATAGACTCAGCAAAATACCTCTTTCCCATTTTGCATTAAATTGGGTATTTAACCTGAACATATGTGTGTCTTTTTCATGAAGGTTTTAAAAATGTCCATTATGGGTATAATGGACATGTGTAGTTGTTGTCTTATATATTTGTATACAAAATAGGGGAATGTCTGCTACAGCAACAGAAAGTAAAACAACATAGCATATAACTGTGTAGATAATGTGCCAAATAGTACAATCCCAATTGGTCACTCACAATTTTAATGAAGGAAAGATGTCTTGTATTTAATTCCCCTCAAAAGATTTAGTCTTCTGGATGCTTTCACATCATAATGTGTTGGCTAGAGATAATATACTCAAAAGAGAAATAAAGTTGTAGTGCAAGTAGAGTGAGTAATAAAAAACAAATTTATTGACTTACATATATGTTTAAAATGATGAATGTAATAATTCAGTCACAACTAGGCATCCTATGCGTTTTGTCAATGCTAGGGTCTTTCTCAGAGACTTTGCACTGTCAGGTTACAATCCAGAATAAATATAAACACTCCCCAGTGAAAGTGAAATAATGCAAAAAAGAATAAAATAAAATAAATCTGATAGATTTGTTTAGGTTACTTTACTACAGCAGTGTTTGTCTGTCTTTTAATTTCTTTACTTAAAGGGAGACTGTAGGCACCCAGAAGTAGTCTGGATGCTGTGACCCTTTTGCCCTTAGTGTTGCAATGTAGAACATTGCAGTTCCAGAGAACTGCAATGTTTACATTGCAGCTCTAAGTCTACCCCTTCAGCCCTGCGGGGGGGGAGGGGCCTAAGGGAGGGGGGAATCTATTAAACCTATAGTGCCAGGAAAACGGGTTTGTTTTCTTGGCACTATAGGATTCCTTTAATTAATGAAGGACCCTTAGTAAAGGGTCAATGAACATTTTATACGCCCTCAACTCCAATGAGATGTTTGGAGCGCTAGTTATTCTCATTTAAAATATAAGGGTATTTGTTAATTCAAATGAGATGTTTGGGGTGTTAGTTATACTCATTTAAAATATGTTTGTATTGGTTAATAGTTAGAAGTCTTTTTAAAGTTTGAATATGTTTGTATCCATTATTTTCATGTTTATAACTCATCTATGCAAGGATTGTGATTACTTAGAGATTCTGTAAGCACCAGAACAACTTTAGCTTAATAAAGCCGTTGTTACTTATATATTATTTCCTTGCAGTGTCACTGCACCATTCTCCTTCATTTAGAGGTTAATTAATTTTTGTTTATGTTTATGCGGCCTAGCCATGCCTCCCCACACTGACAACTTGATAAAAAAGTGTTTTATTATTCAATCAGATATAACAGCACAGTGTATTTAATTTAGAAGTAAGTATCTCCTGCTCTGTTTATTGAACTTTAATTACAAACATGAGGCTGTTGCAGGCTCTAGCAGACAATATAAAGACCAGGAGATAAGATATTTTAAATTAAGCACACTGTGCAATAAAGGATTTTTTTTTTTAAATTAGATCTCTTTTTACATAAAGTATGCAGAAAGGCAGTGTGGGTCACAGGAGATGCAGCCATGGCTGCATAAACAAAGTGATTTAACTTCTAAATGACAGATAATTGAGCAGTGAGACTGCAGATGTATAAGCTTAACACCAAAACTACCTTATTAAGCCAAAGTTGTTTTGATGCTTAAAGTGTCATAAAGAGACACTCTAAGCGCTTTAACTGTTTCATCTTTTTGAAGTGGTTATAGAGACTCCTGATGCTGTCATTTAATTTAACATTAAACCTTTTTATAATATTTTAATGGTAACTGATAGTCCCCAGCAGTCCATTCCCTCTGTGCTGCTTGGTCTGATGAGAAAGCATTAGCCTGAGCAGTAATGGATTGCTATGATTGGATGATAGTGTCAGCTGACTGCATTTCCCCTATAACAGTGCCCATTACAGTTATGCTAAAATGAGGTGTGTAATCTCTGCCCCAGTCATACCTCCAGTGGGCAAGGGGGGAGCCAGGGACCCTCATTTAGTGTTTAATACTGAATGGAGGGACAGTGACAGGGACCCCAGGCACTATAATCTATGCAATGAGGTGAAATGGTTCTAGTGCCTACAGAGTCCCTTTTAACTGTTTAATGAATAGAATACAGCCCTTTTCATTTCAAAAGGGTTTGTAACATTGCGGTTGTAAGCAAGTAGCACTCCACTCATCATCAGCATTTTTAAATTGCAAAACAACTTTGAAAAAATGTTAATTGATAAGTAGCAAGATGGTAATGTGGTAAATAAAGGGCATTTTCATCAATTACAATTTCCCACAACATTTCTCTAGAGCTGTAATGCATACATACAATTAAATTTACAATCCAGATGGCTCCAGGGTAATTGTATATGTGATATATCTAAAACTATTAGTAGCATCTTAAATGTCCAATTTTCACCTAATCCATTGATATTTCTATTAGGTTAGACATCTCCATCCTGAGAAGACATTCACATAAATTATTCCTGTTATTTGCCTGACATCTTGTGTGAATATCTGTGTAGTGGGGCTAAGAGAGTAATTAAGTTTTTCAGGGGTTATTAGTCAATTTGCTATAATGTGTGTTAATGAGATTTTAAATAGTATGGCAGGCATCAGCTTTAAAATGATTAAAGCCATGGTTACATAGTAACTAGATAAGACTTAAATACTGAATTTCCTGATTTAGCACATTTTCTTTTCTAGAAAGCAAGTTATTGCACTTGTGAGTGGTTTTCAGTATTGAATCAGGAATGTGATATACGTAACTTAATTTGGTGAATTTGTTACTCTTTAGTTTAAACTTCCATAATGAAAATAAGGCAAAATAGTAATAGTATATTAATAGTAAAGTGTTGTCTCTTTAAGATAATCAACTATAATTTCTGCGCATGCTTAGTGTTAAAATGTTCATGTAATTTTTTTTTGTAATAGTTCATTTTTAAAAAAATATTTACATGAAATATTTCTCTACCTCTGTTAATTTTAAATTGGTATGCAATACTCAATTTTCTTCTTGAAATATTTCTATTAAAGATTTAAAAATCATTCTCACATTCTAGTTCAGTCTAGGCATAGCCAGGGCACACATTATATCAGAGGAGGAGAAAAACCCATTGCTTGTTGACAAGTGCAAGGGTATTGACATGGAGCCAAGATGGAATTGCTTAGTTCCAGAACATATTAGTGTGTATCTCAGCACTTAATTTTGTTTTTCATCCCTCACAAACACGTGATGTTTTCCACTTCAAAGGCATGCTATCTGCTACTATGAACATGACACTCTTCAGCCAATCAATGAGAGATGCCTGTGTGACTGGTTTCCCTATCTATATTATGGGGCAGAAAACAATATTACATAATGTCACTTGGTGATTTAAAAAAATACTCCCATGTACTTGGTACCAGGTCAATTAATGTAAAAACACTGCTATTTTCAACAACTGGAGTAAATACATGTCTTCATATAAAATAATGCTTTACATGCACTTAATGTATTTAAAAATCCAATTTTATTTTGCAGTTTAAAAAGAAGTACTTTTTGATGTATTTACTTTTTTCTTTATTAAGGTAACAACTATCCAAGTGCAAAAAAGGCGATCCCAAAACCATGCAACTACTAATACAAGCATATATAGGTAAGTAACATATATGGATAGCCAGTGCCAGTGTTAAACATGCTATGAAAAAGTATTACTTTCACATTGGGAAAGACACAGTTCTTGAGCAAATTCAAAATTAAAAAGTCGCAATGTGAAATGGGAACCCATATTGCTGAAAATAATGGGTCTTAATAATGTGCTACATTTTAGAAACCACACAGTTAAAAGCATAATGCCATGTCATGAATTATACATAATCTGATTAAAAGTATAAGCAGATAAAATAATCTTGCCATTTAATCTGTTTATTAGTCAATCTATCTATATCTATCTATCTATCTTCAAAAAAGTATTTATCATATATTTTTTTAATAAGAAATCTATTTATTTTCAATAGGTGTCAAGTGTTCCGAATTCATTTTGAAGGAGATAAATGTTCCTGTTGCGATCTCTCTTTTTGTGTCAGTTATAAAATGTCACAGATGATAAAAAAAGACAAACTTTTGGCAAGACTTTTGGGGAGGCCAAAACAAAAGAATAAAGTGCTGGCACCTGAAGGAATGTGGAAGAAATAAAAAATATAAATACAATAGCCAAAAATTAGATCTTTTCATGCACGTACTATTTGTATTAAATATATTAACAAATGTTTTTCAAAAAATTGTTATTAAACTATTTTCATTTTTTTTTTTTCATGCCAATATATCAGAATGTTACTATCGTGTTACTGTAAATTGCAGTTCATTCTTTAAACTAAATTTAATATTAGGTAAAACTTTTTTATTTTTTTATTTAGACTGACATGGAGTTGGTCCTGAAGAATATTTTAAAATGTAAACAATTTAAAAGATTTTTTTTATATTGTATTGTATTGACATACATGTGAAGAAAACAAAAATAATATGGCACAAACAAACTCTCAAACCACAATTTTATTAGACAACCACCAACAATGTTTCAGAACCAATATGGACTTTTTTTTACAGCCTTTAAAAGCAAAAAAATTGCAGGTAAGTTCATTAAAATGTGCTGGTTTGGGAATTTGTGTGTGCTACATTGTTTGTTTTCTTCACAACTATGTTTGTTGTACCATCCTGATCCTAGTGTACCACATTTTCTGCCTCCCAACACAGTTGGTGAGTGAAATCTCCATTGTTCTTTTCTATAAAAGTATTAACAAGAAAATATTTGTTGCCCAGCAACTTAATCAAAAAATTCACACAGTAAATTAAATAAAGAAGGTGCAGTAACCTCAATATTGTTTTTTTTTTTTTTATGCATAATGCACAATGATACCCAAAATCGTGGGGCAAAATTTATTTTACTTTTTAACTAATGTATACATAGACCTACACTGATAAGCCACAACATTAACTCTTTAAAGATGGAGGCAATTGTAAAAAACAATACCTCAAATTTGATATATTTGTTCAACCACAATTTAGCTCTTCCATATTAAGTGCACCCACAGTAATGATATATAATTTTGTTCAGGAGAAATAGGACTTTCATTTCACAATATATACATATAAGGTGAAAGGATGTTTCAGCCCCTCAGGGCCTTTTTTACTTGTCAGGGTTTGGCATGTATTATGCACTTTGCCACAAGCGAAAGTTTTATTACTAGCGTTAGTGTGATTTCTGCAACATCAGTTTTTTCTACTGCAGTATGATCCCATATTCACGGACAGATGCTGGCTTGCATACAGCTTTGTTTGCTAAGCCATCAGCTCAAGTATGTTGTCCAACAAACAAAGCTTAAAATAGTTCACTGGCTCACAAAGGTCTACTATTGTTGTGATGCCAGGTGTAGCTGTGAATGAGGTTACTTCTGGGGCAGTATAGTTTGGTGGTACACAGCTTTTCTCTGGCACTGCTGAGCAATCTAAGCATCTTATATTAGTTGGTGTTGGACACAGTCACTGGAGGCTCAATGTCAGCGGCTTCCATTGTGTTATTGTCTGCAAGAGTGTCACTGTCTGAGCATGCCAGAATGGCGGACATCTCCCCCACCTTATAATTCACTTACCTGTCTAATACGCACCTGTCCAACCTACACCCAACCCAAAAATAAATTAATGATCAAAAATCAAACAGCTGCGCCAACACTAAAAGCTTTATTTTTTTATTTGTTTCATTTTTTTAATAAAAATAACAACAAAAAACCTGTCAGCTTGATCAGAGAGCCCTCTGATCACACTGATTACTGATACGTACCGTACACAGATACTGTGCAGTACAATGAACAGGCAGCAAGGAAGGGGTTAAATTTTTTTAGAAACACTGTAATTGACAACAAAGGTATTATAGTGTTTTCACATTTTGTTACACTAAGTAGCAATGAGCTCTCTGTCTCTCTCACCTCAAATCAAAGTGAGGAAAGAGAGGGGCAGAGAACAATGTCAATGCAATTACATGTCTTGGATCGCTGGAGTTGGTTGCACAGGGACTGCTTGGGTTGTCATGCAGAACCCCAGGTGGCGATTGGCAGCTTAGGAAGGAAGACAGGCCAGAAGGAGAACCAAGGTCATTAGGGAGTGCTAATGACCTTGGTGTTAAAGCACTCCTATTGTAAAGCGACATAGCACGCCCTAATGTCACAAATGGGTTAAAACTACTTGCCTAATATCGTGAAGGTTCCCTTCGTGCTGCAAAAACAACTCAAGTCATGGACTCCACAATATATCTAAATGTGTCCTGTGGTATCTGGCACCAAGATATTAGCAGCAGATCCTTCAAGTCCTGCAAGTAGCAAGGTGGAGCCTCCATGAATTGGATTTGTCATTCCAGCACATTCCACAGATTCTCAATTTGATTGAGATCTGAGGAGTTTGGAGGCCAAGGAAACACAATTGTCATGAAGGGGTATTCGTGGTCTGCAACAATCTCTAGGTACGTGGTACGCATCAAAGTATAAATGCCAAGACCAAAGGTTTCCCAGTAGAACATTGCCCAGAGCATAACATTGCCTCCACCACCTTCTTCCCATAGTGCATCTTGCTGCCATCTCTTTCCCTGGTAAATGAATCACATGCACCCAGCCATCCACATGATCTAAAAGAAAACATGATTCATCAGACCAGTAAACCTTCTTCCTTTGCTACTTGGTCCAGTTTTGATGCTCATGTCCCCATTGAAGGCACTTTTGAACAGGGGTCATAATGGGCACTCTGACTGGTCTGTGGCTACACAGCCCTATACGCAGCAAACTGCGATACACTGTTCTGACACCTTTCTATTATGACCATCATTAAGTTTTTCAGTTTTATGTGATCAGACCAAATTGCCTAGCCTATGCTCCCCATGGGCATCAATGAGCTTTGGGCATCCCTGACCTTGATGCCAGTACATCAATTGTCCTTCCTTGCGCCACTTTTGGTAAGTATTAGCCACTGCATTCTTGGAACACCACAAGACTTGCCATTTTGGAGATGATCTGACCCAGTCATCTAGTCATTACTATGTAGCCCTTGTCAAAGTCACTCAATCTTTTCACGTGCCAATTTCTATGGCTTCCAACACATGATATTCAACAAGTGACTGTTCTCTGCTGACTAATATACCCCACCTCTTGACAGGTGCCATTGTAATGATATAAGCAAGTTATTCACTTCACCTATTAGTGGTTTTAATGTTGTGGCTGATCAGTGTATGTTGCAGTTATATACATACATTTTGCACCATTATAAGGCATCTTGCATGTACTGAATTGTTTACTTTTTAAATATGTTACATGCACATTTATATTGTACACCATGCTTTGTGATTATATATATTTATATATATATAAAAATATATATATATATATATATGTTAGTCCAATAAAAAAGGTATTACAAGATACGAATTTTATCTGTTTTTTACATATATATCACTGGACTAATACGGCTACAATCTCTCTCTCTCTCTCTCTCTCTCTCTATATATATATATATATATATATCCAAGGGAAATACCGGCACTCTAGGCTTTTCAATCTTAAAAATACTTTTAATCCACATCCACTGTCAATGTTTCAGCTCCCCATGGAGCTTTCATCAGGACCATGGGGAGCTGAAACGTTGACAGTGGATGTGGATTAAAAGTATTTTTAAGATTGAAAAACCTAGAGTGCCGGTATTTCCCTTGGATATGTTACTGTTGCAACCAGAGCACCTGGTACTATTGGATTTGGGTTGGAGTGCAGGAATTGGTTTTGTTCTCTCTCTCTCTCTCTCTCTCTCTATATATATATATATATATATATATAGTGTTGATTGTTTTTTGTAATTGTGTTTAATTCTTATCTAAAATGTAAGTATTAAACATGTGTTTCAGGTTCTTCATTTCAATGTTTCATTCCTTTTGTTACATGATTTCATGACAGATTAAAACTATCAGGTGCAAAAAATTGCATGTGGCTTGTAATACCAAAAAAACATGGTAACATTGAAAATTGTTGTTATCCAAGCCGCAGTAAAATAAACATATATTTCACATATTGTCCATGAAAGGTTTGTTCCAGTAGGCCACTTGTTGTGAGATTTTCAACATCTGTTAATCTGGGAGATGTCTGAGTTAACATGCGTCTTTGATGTCATGGCTCTTACATTTAAAGCAGGCATACTGTTAGGTGTCTTGCTCAGGTATACTTTCTGGCAACTTGCCCTGATTCGGGGTAAAACATTGTTTACTTAGTTGCAAAGCAGTGATATTACTACTGCTTAATCCAGTCCAGTGACCATAACATCAAAAAGAAGGGAACATAAGAAGATGGACATATATACAGGGTCAGGATTCCTGAAGGCATAGAGGGTCAGACAAATCGGAGTCAGGGCAGGCAACAAACAGAGATTGTCAGACAAGCTGGGTCAGGAACACAGTAGAACAAAAGCAAATAGCCATAATATCACAAGCAATGTATAAGCCAGGCAAGGACAACACATTGGCAATGCACCAAAGGAAAGCCAATCGTTAAATAGGCTTAGATCAAGTGAGTCAAATGATCCCAAAAAGGGCACAACATCTGTGTCAAATTTTGGCACCTGATGTTGGTTTGCATCAAAATGCAACATGAAACATCAGCTTGCATCTAAATTCTCCATAGGAAGTAGGCCTGCATTATAAAAAAGGCTTTTCAAATAATCACAATCTGTTAGAAAAACATGTCAAATTATTTATCTAGAGAAGTCACCATTAAAGGCTATTGGAATTGTTGTTTGATAATTCATTTGAAAAGTTTTTCTTATAGATTGTGATAATTTTATCATTTGAAAAGCTTATCCGAAAAGAATAAATCAAGTTGTTGTATCTCTGTTAAATTCTATTTAATTAGGCCATTTGGCCTCCTAATGTGAACATGTTTTTTTTTTTTTACACATTTAAATCAACGAGGGCATGTTTATACCTCTAGAAAAGATGGTCCTATTCAAATGATGCTACAAACACACACAAACATATATATATATTTGTGCTCGGAATCTCTAATATGTAAATGGATGTAGAGGAGAAGCAAAGTTGGTTGAGGTGTGCCAAAACCAATGGGTAAAGGATGGTGTAGGTTGGTGGGGACAAAACTGCTTGAACGGCAAAGGTAAGTAGGGGGGTAGGGTTTATATAGGGTCATACCTCCTCCCACAAATTCAGGCCAAATGGCCTTCCAACTTGTGCTCGGAATCTCTAATATGTAAATGGAATGTAGAAGAGAAGCAAAGTTGGTTGAGGTGTGCTGAAACCAACGTACGAGTAGACCTGTAAAAAGAAAGTGTGTTTACTTAGAAAAAGGAATTCTAAGTAAACACACTTTATTGCAAGTTTAAACAGCTAGATTTCTGAAAGCTTGCCTAAGCTCCCTTTCCGGTTGAGGGATGCAGGAGTTGTATACTGAGGATTTCCAGCGTCCAAGTCTCTTAAAGATGTGTACCGGAGTGTTAGTGCTTGAAACCGATGATGCTGCGCCGATGTGAAACGAGTGACCAAAGAAGGAAGCTGGGTTGTAGCCCAATTTTGACAGTAGAGTTCTGATGTGTGAAATAAATTTAGCTGTGGTGAGTGAGTGTCCTTGGAGTAGAAGTAGTGGAGTGTCTGGTGAGTGTAAGTGGTGAGATAACAGGCACAAATACACAATATGTACTGGGCACCACAAATTCTCGGTAAGGAAAAGGGGAATGATAATGGGATAGGCAGAGTGATTGGTTTTAGTTGAAGGTAAGGAGAGTATGTAATGGTCGTCTACTTTCTTTAGGTGGGAAAGTTTAAGACAATGGACTGTGTCTCCTTGACGTATGACGGTGAACTCTCTAGGTCTGAGAAAACTGTAGAAAGCCAAAAGGATGGCGGATTTAATGACCAAATTAGTACTATTGTCAAACGGGGATTTGTCCAATAGATCGCTAAGGAGCCTGAATATTGGACCGCCTATTGGTAACCTAGTAGTGCTCTGAGGAACTGAGACCTTAAAAATACATTTAAGGATTTTCTTGATGGGGTAGAAAGATAGAAAAGGAGCATGGTTAGGGAAGGTAGTGAGGATGTGGTGTTTGTAACGGATCACCTGGCACCCCGACTGGGTACCTCCGTTAAAGGATGCTCCTAGCGCTTCCTGAGGACTCCAAGCACTGCAGCAGACACCACAACCACCGAACTGGAGAACCATACAAATAGGTTTACTCTCCTAGCAGTCAAACTGGAACAGCATACAATAAATCCTTCCCCCAATAATGAGACGACACTTCACTTTGAGGGTTAAAACAGGAACTCCTGTGCTGGCACACCCAGCCTGGTTTTTATTACAGCCTTTCACATACAGGACCGCCCACAGGGAGGTATAAAACCACCAATCACATATCTGTTACATCCCACATATTCCCTCCCCTTATCCTGAGAGGAAACTCAATTACACATACAGTTAAAACATACTTTCTACCCAACTTTCATAACTTTAAAACCATACATCACATTCACATAAAATTACATATTCACAATCAATCCATTCAGGGGAACAACATATTAAAAAATGGCATGAATCAGACCAGGGGTTCAAAAGTTAGTAAAAAGTATCTTTTGGGCCCTGGCTGGCAGCATGGCTATCTGGCTCAAACAGGTTTTACAGAGCACTCTATCCTGGACAATGGGGAAAGTAATCCAATTATCCAGGGATAGAGGCAGACTCCATTGAGCACATGGTTGCAAAAAGACATAAAACACTTTAAAATACATAAAGTCACCTTTTACACATAACACACAGACATTTCACATATCCCAGATAGCTGGGATCTGAGCGCACAAAACTACCGAATAGCGCTCAGATCCTATTCACACAGTTCAATTGCCATGGAGCCGAAGTCTTTAACTACACGAATGGGCTCCATGGCATAGCTATCTGGGTTAACACATTCACACAAAGTCTGGTCCATAGTCCAAAGGCAAGAGGCGGGCAAGCAGCCCCCTCCAAGGACAGGTGGCGAGGTCGGTTTCGCCACAGTGTTGTACTCCAGTAAGGTAGAGTTTGATAGTGTTGTGTGAAAGTTTTAGGTGTCGATGGCAAAAGGAGGCAAAAGCCACCATGGTTTTGATGGAAAGGACATCTTGTAAGCAAAACTCGGTGGTAAATTTGTTAAAAATAGTTAGTGCCCTAGCGTAAGAGATAGTGGTATTGGGAGACAGTGCGTGGTTGGTCAGAGGATTGTTATACCTTGAAATTAAATGAAATAACCTTAGAAACCAACGCGCACCCCCGCAGTCAAACTCTTGGCATGACGCCAAGGGGCCCCATTGAAGACCGGGACCCCTCTGCATCACCCGTACCACCTGGGGGGACTTGTATTATACGTCCATGATAAGGAGTCAGAGTTACTGAGGCAACTGGCCTGCAAAGTTAGTATGTAAGGCTATGGCAAGACACAAGCGTTGCTTGTTGACGGAGGGACCTAGAGAGGAGGGGTAGTATTTAAGGTGTAAGATATACTTGTCTTGCTTAACCGTGTATTTCTACCCGCTGAAATAGAAGAATGTAGGCAAATTACAACAAGAACTATACATTGGGTAGGAGAGAGACTAATACTGGATCTGGAAGGAAAGAAAGAGATACGAAAAGGTCAATAACAAAAAAAATTCATTACTTGCAATTACGTAGCCCCCCCCGATGGGGTAAGTGTGAATAGGATGAGGCATGGTTTGGACGTGATGTCGACGTATGCTTGTGGACAAATTGTGGTCCACCATACGTAGTGCCGTAAATCCGGGTAACACCTGGTGTAGGTCGTGTGATTGAAAAGTGAGGGGAAGGTCGTGAGTCCCATGCGAGAGCCTTTGGGAAGGACCCAACACCAGATAGCTCTCTGTCGCCCAGTAGGTGAAGAGTACGTGTAGGACCAACTTATTTGTTAGGTGACAGACGTGTTGGGCACATGGTCTTGACGTGGGCTCTGAAGCATATGGAGCAGATATGCAACAACCTGCATGCGCTGTAGCTGCATGCGCCTGTGTTAAAGTTATTGCACACGTGCGCCTTACCCAAGAATGTAATGGGTCTGCCCAGTTTGTTTCTCTGGCCGTCTTCCTGTCTTGTGAGTGGGGTGAATGAGTGGTGGGGTGTGGAGGTGGAAGGGTCTGCATCACCAGGGCATAGGTCGATAGAGTGTGAAGAGGAACCACATGAGGCACAAGACGG